ACTCCTCTACACATATTTTAACTTCCATGCAACAACTCTAACAACCTCATGCTTCCACCTAGCAGGGTCCAACTCTCTTATACAAATAAAGTCACTCTCACACTTTCCCCTATAAAGAGGAGACGCCAAGTCCTAACATTTACCATGTCCCAACTCTCGGGGATATTAAATCTTCTTGTTAATTTACAATTTCACTTAGAATCCTTACACAAAGTAATAAGGAAAAAAAAAGGGTGAAAAAAATTAGTGATTCCTCTGGACTCAGATGGATTCACTCATCTGTCTGTGGTCTGCTGCTGGGATGGCTGTGCTGGTCTTTGGGCTGTCTTGTGCATCTGGGGCCTTGGCTATAATGGCTTGTCTCTGTTCCATGTGGTTTTTCATCTTCCAAATGGCAAGAACAGGCTCTTTTACGTGGCAGTTGCAGGGTTCCAAAAGAGAAAGCAGAAGGATACAAAGTCTCTTGAGACCCAGGCTTAAAATTCACGCAATTTCACTTCTGCCATAGTCTATGGGCCAAAGGAGGTCACAAGGGCAGCCCTTTTCAAGACGTGGCAAAATAGATTCTACCTCTTGAATGGAGGGGCTACAAAAATTGCTATTTTGCAATATGCTATATAAGCAAAGAAGGAAACATCCACAGCTCTCCTTTTTCCACTACATCCTCCTCCTCAATTGGCCTTGTGAGTTGGATTTTTTTACCAAACTGCACAGGAACCCACTTTGACCAGTAGTCTAAAATGCTTTTTGAGTTCTAGGAGTAGCATTAACTTAAGTCTAATGCATGGTCACCAGTTAAACGTGTGCAAGCATACTTTGGGAAGGCTTAGAAAAGTTTTATAGTAGATAATTGTGGGAATATTGCAGGTTCTTTCTCAAAGGTATCCAGCCTCCTTTTCAACCATAGAACTCCAGGTCAATGAATTGGCTTAGGTTTGAGAATTGGGTGAGAAACTGTGAATACTCAAGGCAGTTCTGCAGTTCATCAGACCTAGAGTTTTCCTACTGTATTGACTAAGTAATACTTTAGAAATCTGCCCATATATTTTACTCCTAGGATATTTCACTCTTAGGAATTGAGGAGACATAGTCTAAGATCCTGACAAACCAAGATATTCTGATTACCAACGTTTCCTTGATGTTCATTACAGTAACTGTATAAATCCTGATTCTTGAAGTTAGTTTTGCTACTTAACTTCTGCTACTCTGTGACTCCAGGATCTCCACTGAAATTAGGGATCCCTTTTCAGTGACAGCATCTCCCATTGTCATCTTTAGCTTTTAGAGGATAGATATCATAGAGCATTACAAAGACACTGGTGCATGCCTTAGTGAGGGGAATGTCCTCTGGACCCTCTAAAGGGATGTTGTGTGGTGGTACATGTGCAATTTTCACAAGTTAAGTCCATTCTTAGAGATTCCTAAATCCCTAAGCCTTTTTTTATACTAGGTTAGGAAATTCGTATCCAGTCTCATTGAAAGAGGGCCACTATTAGATCAAATAAACCAAGAAAAGTGTTAGAACAAATTTCATGCTCAACCCATCATATTAAATCTGGAAGAATAACACTTATGTGTATTACTTTGTCCTGATCCAATGTCACATTCCATCCTCCTTGGTCTAACATCCTTATAAGGCATTCTTACATATATCCCTAGCTTCATGCCAATATAATTTAGGAAAGTATTGTAATTCTTTTAGAATATAACCTGTTTCTTCTTGGGTTGGAATTAGAATGTACTCAGATTTCTCTCGCTGTAGAACTAGACACAATAGGAGCAGCAGGTCTTGAGGAAAATAAGCATCTCACTGAAAGGAAGGCTCAGAGTAGATTCAAGATTATCAGCTTTATTTGTGTTCACCCAAACATCCCTACTTCTTCCCAATCAACGTCCTAATTTTCTTTTAGGACACTTGGAACATTTGTGACTACAACTTCCACTGTAATTTTATAACTAGCCCAAATACTTAAATGTTGAGTTTAATTTTCAGCCATATCTGCTCTGGTAAGTACAACCTAAAATAAATACTTCATAAAAAGGTAAGAGATTCTTTTGGCATCACAAGAGAAGCTTTGAGATTGTTAAACTCCTGAGCGCATCATTTTCCTTTCATATGGTCTCCAGTGTAGTCAGAAATAGCCATTCTACCCCACAGTCATATGGTACCATTACCACGATATCAGTCCATTGCAGCAGCCACTTGGTCCCCTAAGATATTTATTTCAATAAGCACTTTATCCCAAGCAACTGCCTGTGGTAATTTAATTAAATAGTGTATGCCATAGCAATATCAGTAACCCATTTTCTATCCTAACAAAGAAGTTGGCATTAATTAAATTTAAGGTCAAGGACATGACATATCTAAAACAACACCATAAGCCCATCTTTGAGGGTTTCCTGGGATCACTCTTGGCACCTGATGCTGTCACAATCAAGAAAACAGAAACCACATTAAGTATTTTGAACAGAGGGTATTTAAACAGAAAGTTGGTAACCCAGGCACGTGAAGGTGAAGGGACAAAAACGGAACACTGCAGTAACCCAGATAGTAACTCAGAGGGGAGTGCCATCCCTAGGTCCTGGGGACTGGGAGTAGGTGAGAAAATGACCAGGACCTGGAAGGTTATAGGAGGAGCCCCATGGCAATGGACCTCAGACCTCAGAGAAGTGAGTCCCAAAGGGCCGCTGCTGGAAGCTTTGAGGAGGTGCCTAGGGCTGCTCCAGGAAGTGCTCAAAGAAGGTGAAGGTTGAAGATGCTGCTGGTTGATACAAAGAGAAAACAGGAAAAGCAGAAGGGCGTATCTCTTCTCTCCTCCCCTTGCCTTCCAATCTCTTTTTATTGCCTTCTATCTGCAAAACTTAACAGAGAGCCATTTGACTAACTGGGAAATGTAATGTACAGAGTCCCATCTCCATCATCATAGAGAATAATATTGAAGGACGTCTTTAGATCCAAGAGAAAATAGATAAATAACTGACACAGGCTTCTCATCTCACCCAGAGTAAACACTAAAGTCCTACAATGATCTATAGGTTCTGCATAACCTAGTCCCTTGTTACCTTCCGATTTCACCTCTTAATCTTCTCCCCCTACCCTCTGCTTTTAGCATAAAGACTCCCTGCTCCTTCTTGATCTCAGTACGCATGCTCTCATCTCACAGCCTTCACACTTGCTGCTCACTCTGCATGAAATGCTCTCCCCGAGATCTTCATAGCTAGCTCCTTCATTTCCATCCACTCAAAAGTTACTTTCTCAGGGAGGCTGTCCACCTAAAATTTCAATACGCAATGCCATTTCAAATTCCTCTTTCTTGATTTCTTTTTTTTTCCTATGTACTTGTCATTCTGTAAAATACTATTTATTGTCTATATTTATCGTATTGTATACCTTCTTCAGTAGAGTTTTAGATTCACGGGGCAGAGACTTTTGTTGTTTTGCTCATGGCTGAATCCCCAGTGCAAGAACAGTCCCTGGCACATATTCAACATTCAGTAAATATTTTTGGAATTAATGAATATCCAGTAACATAACCCTAGTCCTCATCAACTCTCACCTGGACACATCCAATAGTTTAACTGCTGTCTCTTCAACCATTCTTGCCCCTGTTGATCCATTTTCAACACTGCTTCTACAGTGATTTTTAAAAATTAATTATATATTAGTCAATATTCCAAGCAGCTGGAGGGCGAGTCCTGCATTATTTATAATTATATCCCTGCTTTTTTGCTCCAATCATGGCCCTATGTCGAAAATTGACTGACTTTGGTAAACTTTACTTATTGCGAGTTCCTTTAATCCTTCAGATAATGGAGATTTCTACATATGGCAGCTTTACCAACAGTTCTTCATTTTGCTTGTGGCTCTAATGACCTTATTTATAAATCTTTGCAAAGTCTCTCATTATCTAATTTGGCTTTCCACACCATAGAAAACAAATGGACCATTCTTAATCTGGTCTTTGTCATATCGACGCAGGATAGGAATATATACATCTTCTGTAACATAAAAGTTATGGTCTTGAAATGTTGCCTGCAGACTGACATGTTTGTCACATTCTAGGTTTTTATTTCAAAGAAGTTTCTAATAAATTGAATATGCATTCCTTTGGAAAATTTCTTGAGAATAAGACATCATAAAATCTCACTTACGATAAGCACTCATGTAAAAAACAAAAGTCCTCTAAGTCACACAATGTGAATGTGTACTTTCTATTTGGCATAGTTGTTTAAAGGTCTAAAGGGGATAACTGTTTAACAAAAATTGTGTAGCAAATTGTTCTTGTTTCTAAAATACAGTCACACATCCTGTACTGTGTTGTCAAGCTTCATTCGTGTGCTCTCTGTAAAAGCTGCATACTTTTAGAAATGAACAGGGTGATATAAACTGATGGGAGGAGAAGATGCTACAAGATTCTGGGCAACAATTCATCATGCCCGCCTGTTATTTCTCTTTGTTCTGAACTGCCATATCCTTTGAGCTTTGCTTATGTCAAGCCGGTAGTTGGATATGCGTGCCTTCTCTTAGGGGGCTGCAGTGGCCTGGAAGTTAGGTTTTATTTGCTTCGTGTCCCACAGAAAACTTTTTACAGGGTAGGTACTGAAATTGGTTGATATAATTAATATAAAAATTGGACGCAGCGAGAAATAAATGAAGCAACTCTACTAACACATCGTTGTTAATTGTTAACGTTAGGAACTTTAATAAGTTAGGAACTTATTAAAGATAACACAGGTCTTCAGATTCAATGCAAAAAATGAATGCCCAGATTGATCAAATATGTAAAATTTGATGTTCTATGCAACAAGCTAGGCTTATACCTCTTGTGAGTGTGTTTGTGTGTATGTGTGTATTTGTGTTTAATGGTTCAAGCTAAATTGAAAGGAGGGATTTTGGTAATTCTCAAAACAGTGCTGGCTATTGTTTTTACAAAATACAAATTGCTGTCCTGCTTCAAATAATATGTCTGAATAGAAATTCATGCATGTTCATTTCCTACCTTCAGCTTTTGCCCTTCAGATCCGGGGTCCTACGACTTTGCAGGGCTGTCTTTTCCTCCGGCTTGTGCTTCTCTCCCTCACTTCCTTTAGAGCAGATGTTATGCAATGTATTGAAAAGCAAATCGCCTATTTCAGAAAGGGTGATTTCTTTATGAGACCCTCTTAATCTCCGAGGAAAATGCAGAGTCACGCAAAAAATGTGCACAAACAGCTGGAGTACAGGTTGACGTTGAGAAACCAAACCTTTTTTTTTTTAATATATTGGAAAACATGAGTGAAGATACTTTTTATAAGACTTCCCCGCTGTTTTCACAGCACAGCATGCAGCCCTGTGAGACTGCATAAGCTATATTTTCACACAAACTTTTCTTAAAATGAGCCAGTACTGATCGTCTAGTCTTTACAAAATACTTACACCTTTGATGAAAAAAAATAAATCCTCCACATCTAATGGTAGGGTTGTAAAAACATATCATAAGGGAATTTTTTTGAAATACTGTGCTGCCAAAACATATGAGTACAAGAATATACTTACTTTTATCTCAGAATTACTTTCACTGATTTATCTTTAATGTAATTATTTTTTTCTATCATGATTTAACCTTGGCTTTAAGCAGGATTTATCTGGTTGGACAGCAGCCAATATTTATGTATTCCTTTAATGTTTAGTGAGTGCTTACATATATATTATCTTACAAAGTAGGCATTCCTCTTAGCCCCATCTCACTAACGTTTGGTGATTACTTTTACAGATGTTTTCCAAAGATGTTAAGGTAAAATCTAAAAAATCCCAAAAGCTTAGAATATTATTTTTCTAATAATTTCTAATAAACTAATAATAATAATTTCTAACAAACTTTCAGAAACTTGTGTAATAAAATAAATGTCTTCAAACTTATTAGTGTAAACCCATGAAAGTAGGAGGAGAAATAATAATAAATTTAATTTATCAGTTTGCATATGATGTTAGTATTTCATCATTGAAGAGATGTTTTTAAGAATTATACTCGGCTACTAGTGACAATTGTCTGAACAAGATACATGTAGCTTTGTCTCATGTTAAAGGAATCTGAAGTTAAGAAGCTTGGCATGGTCAAGGGAAGTATGTTATAGATCACATATATATGCACTATATATCAGAGACTATGCTCTTTCTTTCTGCTCTGTACTCAGCACATGTTTTCCATTTTCAAGGGCACAGTGTAGTTTCTGGAGCTCCAGCATCAGATCACCATTTCTGTTAGGATACAGGAGAAAGCCAAAAGTTTTTCCAGAAGCCACACCCAATAACTTCCACTTATAGCTCACAGGTCATCCTAGTTGCCAGAGGGCATGGGAAAGGTAGGTTCTTGGCAGGCTCATCACTACAGGGATAAAACTAGAGATTTGTTACTAAAGAAGAAATTAAGAATGGGTCAGGGCATATAATTTGCTGTTTGTCCCTCATCCCTAAAGGAACAGGATTTTCCTACTTTTCGTTTCTTTTTTTTTTTTTTGAGGAAGATTAGCCCTGAGCTAACATCTGCCAGTCCTCCTCTTTTTTGCTGAGCTAACATCCGTGCCCATCTTCCTCTACTTTCTATGTGGGACACTTACCGCAGCATGGTGTGCCAAGTGGTGCCATGTCTGCACGGGATCCCAACCGGTGAACCCGGGCTGCTGAGAAGCAGAACGTGCAAACTTAACCGCTGCGCCACCAGGCCGGCCCCACGATTTTCCTACTTTTAAGAAGAGTATTTATTCCAACTATCACCCCACATGTAAAAAATGTCCCACTAACAGATTAAAAAGGATCCTTGGTCAATTTAATCCTCTGATTGAAAATTAATCAGAGAAAACAAATTGAGTTTAGTAAGTGAAGGCGACAGTTGAAAATGGAAAATTATCTACTCCAGTTCAAAAGACTATGATGGCAGTAAAAAAATAAGCTACAACTAGAAAATGTGAAATCATTAGTAGTCATTGGGTGCATAGTGATTTACTAAGAAGTTTGACGAAGAGTAGAGAGTTTGGTTAAATGCCAATTTTCTCAAAGAGTTTGCAGTCCTGTTTGTTATTCAATACAAAGCTTATAGTCATTATTTTTAGGAGAAAATAAATAGCTATAATTTCTATCTCATTCAATAAACTATTTATTAAAAATACATACTATTCTCCCATAGGGATCACTTTCTGAAAGTATCTTGTTACCATTAAGGAACTATATTTAAATTATGACTATTGTTTTCTGGAATTCTGAGAGCTAGATAGAATTAAATCATTTTCCAGAGTATTACTCATTCCAATACCGGGCACGACTTAGAATATAAAATCTCTTAGACTTTTGACATCAAACGTTTAGAAGAACAGTGAACTACTGAAAATAACATTCACTCACAATTTCAAAATTTTTGTAATAAACATATAAAAGCATGCTAGACCACACTAGTAATACAGTGCAAGTAATTAAAAATCAAGATACAATTTAATATATAATTTTTTTCAAGATTGGGTAGGAAAAATGATATAAACATTCCTTTGCATTACCTGGAGAAGAACAACAGGCAAAATCTTTTGGAAAGATACACACACACACACACATGCATTTTAAGCCATACGTGAGTGTGTATAAATACATAGAGTATTAAAACAGCCATATTCTTTAACACAGTAATTTCATTCCTGGAAAACTACCTTAAAGAAATAATCCTAAATACTGAAGAAGAAAAAAGCGTGATGCATAATCTTCACGGTAGCGGTGTTTAGAAGTCAAAAATTGGAAACAGTAGTTGTTCAACACAGGATAATAACTAGTAACTCATGGTACGTTCGCTGACTGAAATAGAGTATTGCTAGCTAAGTCACTGAAAGCGTAAGAAGAGAACGCCAAGGTATTGCAGACGCACCAACTGTTAGAAGCAGCTATCACCCCTGGGGCTGGAGGAACACAGGGAGGAGACAGGAGTTGGTAACCTTAGTACCTTGTTTCCTGAAGCCCAGATCTCTGAAGGCAGCCTAGCCGTCTGAAGCTGGTGTTTTTGAGGTGGAGCGTGATGAAGCGGGTTCTCAATGTTAAAACAACTACAGACTGGATTCACTTGCTGCTATGGGAGTGAACTGCTACTAGCAGGCTGAGGTAGCATCTCCAGAGTGATGTTCAGGGCATAAGTAGCAGATAGGAAGCTTCCAGAAAGCACAGGTCTTTCTCCTCTAGCCCTTCACTCTCCCTGCGGCGCCCCCTGTTGGCAGAGCTTAACAGGGAACCAGCGGGCAAAGCAGAAATCTTCAGCCCCTACCTGTATTCCCACCTGTGCGAGATCCTGTCCGTTGTGCTCCGCCCGTTTCGGTGGATGCTCACTCTCTCTCTATCAGCTCTTATGGCTTTTGGCATCTGGCAAATGGAGAGTGAGCTAGAGTGGGTGAGGGTGGGGGGTGCTCCCTGGGTCCGCAGGGCTGAGCTGGAGCCTGTGCCCAGCTGCAGTGAGCAAGTTCCACCTTGGCGGATGTGCCAGACAAGTGGTACCCAGGGCTGGCCAGGGAGGGGGAGCGTGTGCCCCACCATCGCAAAGCCGACTCTAGAAAGATGGTTTGGAGATGAGAGAGACAATCACTTAGTAACTGGCACACTACTTATTACCTGTCTCTCCATCTAGAAAATAAACTCTTAAAGGACAGGGTAGCTCCAGTTCTTAGAGCAGTGCCTGGCCCGTAGCAGGAGCTCCATAAATATTGCTGAATTAATAAAGAGGAACTCTCTGTTGTTGAAGAAGGGAAAAATATGAAAAAATCATGGCATCTTTATTTCTACCTTTTAGATTTTCCTAGTCCAGAAATTGCTCCAGCCAACGAAAGGTCTAAGCTGAGGAACACCTCTGCTCTTAGTCGTTGCTGTTCCATCTCTTTCTAACTATGTGTGACTTTGGGAAGCTACCTAACTTTAGGAGCACCAGTTTCATAACCTAAAAATAGAAACAACACTTACTGCAAAGTGTAATTGAAAGGATTGGTAAGATGATCTACACAGAACACCTACTACCATACAGGGCACACATTTGTTCAGTGGATTGTGCTGTTGAAATCATACTCATTTCCACTCCCTTCAACCATTGTGCCTCTGGCATTATTTCCAAGTAGGTATGGTTTCTGAATGATAATATAAACCAGCATTGATTGGGCGTTTATGTTTGTGCCACATGCTGTTACAAGTGTTCTCCTTATGTGAAGTCACTCAATGCTTCCAACAATTTGTGAGATAGATGTTTTTATTTTTCCAGTTTTACTGAAGAGGAACTAAGGCACAGAAAGTTCAGGAATTCTTCTTAGGTGCAGAGTTAGAAAGGAGCAGAGCCAGGATTCGAACCCAGGTAGTCTGGCTCCAGTGTCTGTCTTTTTAGCTACTGTTACGGTGTTTCTTTAATAAAACTACTAGTAATCTTACTGTTAATGCTAATTCTGGGTATTTGCAGGACTGTCTTGTGCAATTATTAATAGGCATTGCACCAGTTCCACCAAAATTCCTGAGTAGAATCATTGGCTTAGAGAAACCACATCTGACTCAACTGAACACACCAAGAATGAGGTGAGGTGGTGTCTCCTTCCACAAGGGTATCTGGACAAAGCTTAAAGTCAGTCAACCTAATTATAAACTGTTATCCCTCTATTATGGAAAAACCCTGTAATTGGATACAAGAAAATCCTCTGTGAAAGCTTGTCCCTCAGGCAAGGTTTAGCCCTGGTCTCAGAAGCCCAATTAAATATGATCAAAACTGTGTTAAAAAAAACCAAACCAGTTATACTTAAAAAAAAATAGATTGAAGGGAAATACTTCACAACATTAAGGCAGCTGTCTTTGGATGGTTATACAATGGGTATTTTTTTTCATTTTCTTTTCCTTTTTTAAAACATTTTTCTTAAATTTTTCTAAATGAGGAAGTATTATTTAAAAAAACATTTCTTAAGAGAGGAAAATGCTATTAAAAGCAGAAAATTTAGATAAATAAAAATAAAAGAAATTATACATGATCTCACCATTGTATGTTAAAACTTTGCTATATTTTCCAGGCTTTCTCCAGTGTAAGGACTCTCATATATCATGTATATGTGCAGAAATTTTTACCCCCAAATTAGGATCATATTGTTCATACTGCTTTATACTCTGTTTTTCTTTTCACTTATCAGAATACTGTGAGTCTCTTCATCTATCAATAAATACACATATGTAGAATAATTTG